CTCGAACAAGCTCGTATCGAAGCCGAGAAAGAAAATGAACAAGCTCGTATTGAAGCTGAAAGAGAAAATAAACGTCTCGAGGCCGCAAAAGTTCGCAATTGAAGCCAAAAAAGAAATTAGACTGAAAGAAGTGGAAATTAGACTCAACTCCTATCGACCAAGACAAAATGGCAACTTTGAATTTAATCGATATGTTAAAGTGCCATCATTTAATGAAAATGAAGTTTATAGATATTTCCAACATGTGCTGCTCTCTCTCTATAAGATTGTACGAATTATGATAAGGTTAAAGCAGTTATTCTCAAAGCATATCGCTAAAAGTTTCAAGGTTATCGCAAACAAGATAATCATGGAATTTGTCCACGAAAAAGAGGTTTATTTTGATCAATGGTGTAATTCTATGTATATTGGTAATAGTTTCGACAAACTAAGACAATTATGTCTAATTGAGGAATTTAAGCGTTATGCACGTGACAACCTCAAAACTTATTTAGATGAAAAAAAGTTGAAACACTACAGGAAGCAGCCACTCTTTCCAATGACTACACTTTAACACATAAAACTACTTTTCATAAAAAGAAATTCCTACCATCTTAATAAAAACCTGTATCGGTTCAATCCACTAAAGTTGAGGATCCATCTAAAAATTTAGCTTATCTAGTTCGAAATCTTTTGACAGTCAGGATAAAACTTCTTTAAAACAATCAAGGACTGTCTGCCATTTTTGTAAAAACCTGGCCATGTTATGTCCGATTGTTGGTGTTTTAAGAAGAAAATAGAAAAGGAGGCAACACCCAGTGCGTTTGTGGCCACATATGGATGTAGTTTCACCAAATCACCCGATGCTGTTGATAGGGCCACTAATATAAAGGCTGATGTTATCATGGAGAAATTTAGACTTTTTGTGTCTCTTGGTTCTGTGTCTTTGACAAATGACATTGACAATCCCATTCTACGTGATACTGAAGCAACTCAATTATTGCTGTTAGAAGTTATATTGCCTTTAGATTCGAGTTCTGCCACTGGTGAGTCTGTTGTTGCTCAGGATATTGAGGGTGGCTTTGTTAATGTTCCTCTTCATAACATTTATTTAGCATCAGACCTAGTTTTGGGACCAGTTGTGGTTGGAGTAAGACCTACTCTGCCAATTAAGGGTGTATCATTATTGTTGGGAAAAGATTTGGCTCGGGGAAAAGTCGTTGCCGAACCTAAAATGGTTAGTGAGTCGATCACTGTTTCATCTAAGAAGAATTCCGTTGAGAAGAATTCCGATTTGTTTCCCTCGTGTGCTGTGAATCGAGCGGAGGCTAAGAAATTACGCAAAAAACAAATGATAGACATGGATTCAGAGGACGATATTATAGATTTGTCTCAGACATTTTTTGGATCCGACGAGGATCTTGTGGATAATTGTCCTACTGATGATTCCTCGGTGATGAACAACGATGGGCGTGAGGGATCTGATTCACCTACTAAATATAAACTGTTCGCTGAGCAAAAAAAAAAAAGAGGATCTGCAGATCTCTTCACTATTTAAATTTGCACTCCCAAAAAGATGAACTGGAGAA